GATGTGTTACCCCTGTACACATGGAAAAAAAATAAAAATAAAAATAAATTAACATTTCTAGACCAATATGGTTGTCCATTTCTGTACAATGCCAAGTCAACACAGTAAATTGGGATGACTTTTTCCAAAGTTGGCAGCACCGTTAAAGTTTCCCAAAATTCAGTTTATATGTGTGTGTGTGTGTGTGTGTGTGTGTGTGTGTATGTATAAAGACTAATAATAGTATGTTATGCATCGATAGCAGCAACAGCTGTTCCAGGTTCTGCAGTCATCTGAACAAAATTATAGACATTCAGCACATTCCATTAAAAAAAAAACAAACAAAGAAAAGAATAATATCCAGACAACAGCAAAGTTCTGTTCCTGTTGTGGTTCAAAGTACCAACTCTTTAATTCATTGATTCTTTGTACAGTTTTGTTAGTCTCATTTGCACTAATTTATGCTCCTATTTTTATAATTTCCTCCCTTATATGAGCTTTGGGCTTGACTTGCTCTTCTTTTTCTATAATCTTGAGGTTCAACATTAGGTTGCTTATTTGAGCTTGCTCCGTTTTTCTGATATGGGAAATAAATTTCCCTCATAGTGCTGCTTTCATTGCATCCCCTAAGTTCCAATATGTTGTGTTGGCATTAGTATTTAATTGTAAAAACTATCTAAAATCTTCTTTAATCTGTGACCTGTTGGATGTTCAGGAGGGTGTTAATTAATTTCCATGTTTTTATGAAGCTTCTGTGGCTTCTTTTGCCATTTATTTAATTTCACTATGGTGTGATAATATGCATAGAGTAATTTCAGTTCCTTTGCATTTACTTATCATGTTTTATGAGCTAGTATGTGGTCTGTTTTGGAGAATGTCCTATGTGCAACTGAGAAAAATGTGTATTCTGTTATTGTGGGATGGAATATTCTACTAAGTCTATTTGTTCAAAAGTTTGGTTCAATTCTGATTTTTTTGTTGTTGATTTTTTTTGTCTAGTTGATCTGTCTTTTTTGATACTGTGGTATTGAGGTCCCCCATTACAGTTGTATTAGTGCTTATTTGATTTTTCATGTCCATTAATATTTGTTTTATATATTTGAGAGTACTAGTATTTGGTGCATATATATTTATGATTGTTATCTCTTCCTCTTGGATTGTTCCCTTGACAGGATGTAGTGATCTTTGTCTCTCTTAATCAGTCTTGGCTTGAAATGTATTTTGTCTGCAAATAGAATAGCTACTTCTGCTTTTTTACAGGTTCCTGTCACATGAAGTATTATTTTCCATCCTTTGACTATCAGTCTAGAAATTTATTTTTGAATTAAATGTGTTTCTTTTAAGCATCACATTGTTGGATCTTGCTTCTTGATCCATTCTGCCAGTCTTGTTTCTTTTGATTGGTGAATTGAGACCAATTTGCAATTTGCAATGATAGTTACAACTGATATGTATTGCCTTATCCTTGTCATGTTATTTTTCTCTTGTCAGTGTCCTTTTTTCTGCCCTCTGTTTAATTACTTGCCTTGCCTGATGGATTCATTCTGTTGGAGTTTATAGAGTTGTAGTCCTGGTTATCTTTTCCTAGAATGTCCTCCAGAATATTTTAGAATGTTTAGTGGTCATGAATTTCTTCAAGCGTTTTTTTATCATGGAAGTAGCTTATTTCTCCATCAAAAAATTTTTTTTGGTACAGGGGATTGAACTCAAGACCTTGTGCTTGTGAGGCAGACATGGCACCACTGAGCTAAATCCCTGGCCCATCTCCATCAATTTTGAAAGATAGTTCTATGGGGTACATCAATCTAGGCTGGAGATTATGTTCTTTAAGGGCTGAGATATGTCACTAAGCTCTCCTTGACTTGAGGGTTTGTGTTGAGAGGTCTGCTGTGATTGTGATGGGCATTCCTTTTTAGGTGATTTGTTTCTTTTCTCTAACAGCTTTTAATATTCTGTTCTTGTGTTGTATTTCTGGAATCTTGACTGTTACATGCCTTGGAGTAGATTTGTTTTGTTGGAATTCTAAATGCCTTACTTTCTATATGTCAAATTCTTTTTTCCATGCTTGGGAAGTTTTCTGCCATTACTTCTGTGAACATATTTTTTATGTTCTTTGTGCTATCTCTACTTTTTCATTGATTCCGATCTCATGTTATTTTTCTTTACATCATCTAGCAGCTGTTGGATTGATTTTTTATGGTTCCCTACTATTTTTAAGAAATCTTTTTCACAATCACTAACCATAATCCTGTCTTCTATATTTGACATTCTGTTCCCACATTGGCTCATTCTACTGTGTATACTTTTACTGTAATTTTAAATCTCCTTGATATCTGTTTGAATCTATTTCATGGATTCCATTTCTTTCCTATATTAGGTTTTCTTCATTTTCCTAAACTCTATTTTCTAAAATTTATATGTGCTATAGATTCATTAATCATGTCCTTCATTATGGTGACCCTTTTTGTAATTATCTACCAAATTACTTCTAATTTTATTTTTTTCTAGAGCTTTATTCATCTACTTTGTTACTTTCATTATTGCCTCTTCAGAGAATCCAGGTGGGTGGCTTTTAATTTGTTCCATCTCATTGCCCCCTGGGTTTGTGTTTTTCAAGCTGGAAGTCTTGGGTTGCATCTTGCTTCCATGTCTCCTCATTTTCCATTTTTTAAAGTTTAATTACTGGGTTTATGCTCATAAATTGCTTATGGCAGGTAGCTTCTTTCTCCTGAAATTCAGGCTGGTTTCTGGTTGTGAGGCTGGAACCCACCTTGTTCACCCTGTAACACTCTGTGCCTCCTGCCAGCTTGAACTTGGTGGATCCTTTACCTCCTGCTGACTTGAACTCATCTCTGCCTAACCTTCACACTGGGAGCTGCTAAATGGAGCTAATCCAAAGTTGCTCTGAGTTCCATGCTCAGTTGACCTCTTTCCAAAATGGCAACTGGCCAATAACCTTTCCTGGGGGGGGTCTGAACCGGAATAACTCACCAGACACTGCAGTCTGCTGGGTCTCCTGCTCTGTTCCATTGGTGTGTTTCTCCATGGGAGGCTTCTGGAGTTGCCATTAGTGATCATGTATCTGCAGCTTCCAGCTGCCTCTCTTGTACAGTGAGCCAGTAGAGAAAGTGCCACTTGCCACCTCCTTCTTCTGTGTTGTGTCCCTCTCTTCACTCACCGTGGGCTTCAATTCTTGCTGGGTTCCAGGTACCCACTTCCTCCTTCTTCTCCTCCTCATGTTGCTATATTTCAGCTTATGGCCATTTCTCTATTGTTCACCACTCTACCAAGACTGTTCTAATTTATACTAGATGAACAATTCAGGAAACATTAACTCCTCTAAGACTATTTCCTCACTTGTAATATAAGAATAATAATATTTCACTAACTCTTAGTAATAAATGCAGTGAATTAATATATATATTTGTTGTTATCATGGTAGATATTGTTTAATAAACACCACATCACCTTGTATTGCCTTTTAAAGTGAAAATTATATTTATGGTAGCTCTTAAAAGGCACCCAAAAAATTATCCTAAATAGTACCTGTATTGTGACCTAAAAAGTATACTTTTACTTTGAAGTATTTTAGAAGTTAACATGGAGTTTATAAATTTAAAAATACAAATCATAATTGTAGCTTGAGATTATCTCTAGCATATTAAACCACATATACTTATTCTTGGGTTAAAAATAGTAAAATGAAGGCAACTTCATATGGCTCAATTGTTAGCAATTGGCAAATACTCATTCTCTAGCATTAGCTAGCTAATCTCTAGCTAATAGCTTCTAGCTATTGGCTTCTCATAGCTTCTTAAATTGGTCATTAAAAAAAATTTTTTTTTTGTACCAGGGATTGAACTCAGGTCCTTGTGCTTGCACAGCAGGCAGTGGAACCACTGAGCTAAATCCCTGGCCCCATTTTGAATTTCTAAATACTTAATATTCCTGGGGGGAAAATCTGAATTGTTTTTTCTGTGTGATTCACAGAAAGACATACTCACCTAGAAGTTGGAACAAACATAAGACAAATATATATATATATATAGAGAGAGAATGTAGTGTTAAGTGGAACTTAAGAAATTTTAGCTAGTTCTAGCACTCTTCAGACATAAAAAAAGTGATTGATGGAATTATGATTAGTACTCAACTTTCCTGATTTCCTGTCTGTATTCTTCTATTATATCACACTTCTGACAGTTATTTGATTTTCTGATACTCTTTGTTATGGGTAGTTTTTTGTTTTGTTTTGCTATGCTGAACATTAAATATATTCCTTATTTAACAACTGTTTAATGACTATTCAGACTTATGACCCACCACTCAAACTTGACCACCCATATATTTTTTTTTTTGGTGTTTTGAGACAGAGTCTCACTTTGTAGTGCAGGCTGCAAACTGGCCTTGAACTCCTATGTAGTCCAGGTTAGTCTTGGACTCATGGTTATCCTCCTGCCTCAGCCTTCCAAGTGCTGGGATTAAAGGTGTATGCCACCAGTCCTGGCTTCATCTCTTTTTTTCTTTGTACAGTTCTGTACATCTTGTTTAGAGAGCCTTAATGTCTTTTTGGGGGGTACAGTACACCTTTTTAATACAGTACTGTAATTTTTTGCTGATTGTATAGTACACTGCTTTAGTTCTATGATCCATTATACTTTATAGTACTGTATTTAAGAGTTATGCAAATAAAGCAAAGTCATCAAGTTGGAGCTTCCTTTGACCATTTCTTTGTTTTAAATATTGTAATGTACATACTATATACAAATCTTCATTTAGCAACCAATTCATTTAACAACCTAGTCATGGGAATAGGATCCAGGCATTAAATGAGGAGTCTCTCAGTATATTATGTGTATATTTAAATTGGGGATAGTACTATTGAGTTGAGTTGGAGTGTGCCATTGAGGGATTTGGAAGGATTGGAAAGAGAAATGTTGATTGGCCTGTATAGACTTAGCTGGTTCACTTCTAGATGATTTATCATATGAAGTTGTGATATAATTTTTCATTTTTATTTTCAGATGACCTGATACAGCTAATAACATTATGTCCCCAAGATGAACTAATTCAATCTCTCACTAAAGAAAGGAATGGGAAGCCACCATTTTTATCTTTTGGGCTTATTGTACTTCATCTGTTCTCTGTAAATATGGAAGAAGTTGGTATTAAGCTACTTAAAGAAATAAATAAAGGTGGGAAAGGTAAGTAAAATGTTCTGAAAGAAATAGTGGGTTATTTAGGGGAAAGTTTATAATAATTATGTATGAGTTAACTCAAAATTTTTTTAGAGTTCCTTCTTAGCAACAGTTAAATTTAAAAATATATAAATTAGGGCTGGGGATTTAGCTCAGTGGTTCCACCACATACCTGGCAAGTGCAAGGTCCAGAGTTCAATCCCTGGTACCAAAAAAAAAAAAGATCACCATATCAATAATAGTCTCCTGGCATTAGTATATATTTCTTGAGAGAATCAAAATGGAAAAAAATCTTTATTAAACTTGATTGGAATGTCAAAATAATTTTAATAACTAACTCTATCCTAAAAACTTAATACATATTAACATGTGTATATTTAGACATTTTTTTTCCAGTACTGCAAATTGAACTCAGGACCTTATGCTTGCCAGACAGGCACAGTGCCACTAAGCTACTTCCCCAGCCTAGCCATCTTTTATATATGTTTTAAAAGTTACTTAGATATAAGCTTTATATTTTTAAATTCTTTTTTGATTTTTTTTGGTAGCAGGGATTGAACTCAGGTCCTTGTGCTTGTGAGGCAAGGGCTGGAACCACTGAGATAAATCCCCAGCCCTATATTTTTAAATTCTTAAACCAAACGTTTGCATTTTTATATATGATACTCCCTTTGGACCTAAATGCAGTAGAGTCTAGAATAGCAAATTAAATTTCATTTTCCTCTCTTATTTAACATTGTAGCTTGAACAGACAAACTTGATTTTAAATTATTGTGGGGGTGGGTGGGGATTTAGCTCAGTGGTACTTCTGCCAGCCTCACAAACAGGTTCGGAGTTTGATCCCTGGTACCAAAAAAAAAAAAAAAAAAAAA